GAGGTGAGAAACCCTTGGTTGTTAGGATGTTCTGTGAACATATGATGTTGGATACCCGTGAGGTATAGTTTAGTGGTATTATGCAACATTTTTAACTTAATGTGGCAAAACGTGGCAAAAGCCACCAATGTTACATTGTCAAACCAATTCGCGAGATTATGGTCTGCCATGAATTTCTTGTATAGGTAGTAAGCTCTATTTTATGCGCTATGTGTGTTTTTTGTGAGAGCGAGTTTTGTAAGTATCTTGCTGTGTTGTAATAATTCCTCTAGTCCAGGGATTCTCAACGTTAGTCCTCAGGACCCCCTACCAGTCCAGGGTTTAGGGATTACCTGGGTGTGTCTAAGGTGTTTAGAAAAAAAAAACCACCTTAGAGTCTAAGGTGTTTTTTTCCCTTTTTCTAAACACCTGAGACACACCCAAGTAATCCCCAAATCCTGGACTGGTAGGGGGTCCTGAGGACTGGGTTGAGAACCCCTCCTCTAGTCCATGATTAGATCCTGGAGATGGGGAGCGATCGTAGCTACCGGTAAGGCCGTTGGTAGAGACTCCCTGAACGCCTAAAACTGAAAGCGGGACAGCTGGTCAGCGGCTGTATTATAGATACCCAGTACATGGTAACATACTAGATGAAACTGATGACAGGCCGCCAACCACGTAAGACGTCTGATAAAACTCATGATGGTTAGAGAGGTAGACCGGCTTTTGTTTATGACATGGCAAATCGCCAAGTTGTCAGAAAAACATCGAACTGGTCTACCTGCCCAAGACTGTCCCCATGTGACTGCTGCTGCTACTATGGGGTACACTTCAAAGAGTGCAGAATTCCTAAAAAAAGCCTTCTATTTGCTTAACTTCTTCCAGCCATCTACCCCATAGCCAGTTGTCCCCAAAAATGGCTGCAAAACCTGTGGAGGCTGCTGCGTCAGTCCAAATGGTAGGGGAATCCTCTGTGACTTGGGGGAGGAACATGCTCCTGCCATTCCAATTTGACAGGAACACGTTCCACATGTGTAAGTCTGCTGTGACTTGCATATCAAGAGTGGTACGTTTGTGTTCGTCAGTTAGTGTCGGAAGAAGGCACAGGAGTCTGGGGTATAATACGGATGGCAAAATTTAGCGAGCCAATCAGTGACTGAAGCTCTTTCCTATTGCATGAGCCTTTGTGCAAGTACTGCTGAATGGTCTGAGTGATGTTGTCAATCTTATCTCTAGGGAGGCTGGCTTCCATAGTTATGGAGTCCAATTGTATCCCCAAAAACTGAATGATCGTATCTGGACCTTCTGTCTTGGTGGGAGATACTGGAACCTCAATGGTGTTAAATAAGTTATGGCTTTGTGTAAACTGTTAGGGGGGGTAGCGTTATTTTCTATGAAAAGGAAGTCATCCAAGTAATGAATTACACTATGGCACCTGCTGGTATTCATGAGCAGCCAGCACAAGGTCTCTGCGAAAGTGTCAAATATTTTAGGACTGCTCTTGGATCCGAAGGTGAGCCTTGTGAAGAAGTAATACTGGCCTCTCCATTTGATACCATGCAAATGCCACAGTGACGGGTGTATGGGGAGTAGTTTAAAGGCGTTAACTATGACGGTTTTGCTCAACCATGCGCCTATGCCTGCTGAGATGATGGTGGATATGGCTTCGTCTATGGTGGTGTATTGTAAAGAGAATGCCTCTGACAGGATCAGGGAATTGAGGCTGGGTATGACCGAAGCATGTGGTGCGGACAGGTCTATGATGAGTCTTTGTTAGATGTTTTCCCAGTGACTAGTCCAATGGTATTTGTTCTCTAATTAGAGAACGGCGGGTCAATAAATGGACCTAAGACAAATCCTTGGTCTTGTTCTATTTGTAGTAGGTAGTCTACTTCGTCTGTGTCACAAAGGGCGGACTGGAGGTTGTTGGCTTCCCATGTACCCCCTGGTATGTAAATGAGGCCAGTATGAAACCCTTGGGAAAACTCTGTAATCAAATACTCCACAAAATGTGTAGAAGGGTGCTTGGAGAGAAGCTCTGCCAGAACATCAACATTCACAGTAGTTAGGTAGGGTTTAACATGCATTTTATTAGGGCACATATCCTTTGCATGTACCCTGAAACAATGGGAGCAGATATGCAACAGACGGCAAGCACTATAGGAGCAAGCCCCAACATTAAAATTATTACATATCTGTGACTTGCCCAAATACACGATAGGGCGACCCAGCTTGTCTCTGCCCTGTTTCTCCCCCCTGGAAGTGCTTGGTGTGGCATTGTTTGGGGCATCGTCTGTGGAGACAGGACAGAGATTTGCAGCGTGCGTGGTAGCCACACATATTGCACAAGCTGGAGACCTTAGCCTGGCAAAGTGCCTGAGGAACAACTCTGTACCCATTAGGCTCAAATCCATTCTTGCGTTATACTGGGCGAGAGCTGTTGCCGCTTTAGTTGAAAAAAGAACGGTGGTAGTCGTAAAATGATGACCCACCGTATTTGTTGCCCAGGTCTACCAGCTTGTGCATGTATAGGTCTAACTCTTCCCTTCTCTGTGGGTAAACTGAGCACAGTACGTCCCTGTAAATGCCAAATGCGATAACGAAGTCTGGGATTGCTAGTTTTTTTGCTTAGTCTAGGATCTCTGGCCTTGAGGACCACAGAAATATCGCCATACGTATATGTGCGGTTTTCTGTGATATCCTGGGAGGCAATAAGCAGAGAGACTAGATTTATATCCTTGCCCTCCAGGATGTCTTTTTTTAAGGTTTGCTGGTATCATATGGGCTGGGTTGATCACTTGTGACCCAAGTATGGTGGGGGTATTAGGATTACCAGGTTGGGCTTGTGATGGCCCTGGGATATCGGGTGGCTCTGGTGTCACAACTGGACCGCTACGAGCTTCCAGTCTTTCCAGTCTCTCATTAATCTGCCCCATGGAACACTAGTGAGGCGACCATGGTATGCAGATTAGCATTGCTTGAATTACTAGTGCCTTCCCTGGCGTCAGAATTGTCCTGATTGGCTTGCATAAGCCTGTACAATTCTGCCTTGCAGGCCGTAGCTGGATAAGGAATACTTTGTTTGCGTAGTTCGGCCATGATCCATGGGATGGTCCATGATCTAATAGATGACGGGCTGCCGATGTCCCCTTTGCGTGTGGGGTGGCAGTCCTGGTTGATGTACTAGGCATTAAGAGTTCATTTCCTTCTTCATGAACTTGGGACATACTGAAATATATATACGTATGTAATCGTGAGTTTCATTATGGAGGGTGTAAAATGTTGTTTAACTAGTGCCAAAGTGGCGAAATAATTCATTAAACTTGTGGCAGGTAAGTCCCTATTAAATGCCAATTGGCTAGTAGGATTTAACTATGGTTGGCACGTGAGGTTGATCTGCTGTACATGTTTTACAAGTGGAGATTTTATTGTTAATTGAGGGTTATGACGGATGATGCCCTAGCTATGATTTGGCCGTGGGGGTTAACACCTCTTACATCGAGGATGGAAGTTGGCCTCACGGTACCTCTAACCCTATGGCAGAAGGTGCCTGGGAGGAGAATTACCTAAGTGGGCATGTTGATGTTTCTTATACTGGTTGCTGCAACCGAGATAACTTACCTGAGTGCCTGGTAGTCCTGTAGTAGTTTGATTACTGTTAGGGAGGATGGCCTAAACCCAATGCTGGATGACAGAATGGAAGGCATAAGGTACATATAAGTGTGCACTGCTATCTTGTCCCCCACAATACTGTAGCCGTGGACCTTGGCGGGTCAGGCTATGTGTAGGCTGCAGACCGGCACAATGATACCGGTCTGCCAACTCACTGTTTAGTAGGGAAACCGGCAGAAGGAGCACCTGAAAACTTTGAAAATGCAGCTGTCAGGAGAAACTGAAACCACGTTGGGAACCAGCAATCCAAACGAGCATCTGGACCAGAAGGTGAATGAGGTAGGAGGGGGAGTCCCTTTTAAAGGGATATAGCCCCTCCCACAACTTCAGGCCCTGCCTTCCAATATATATATATATATATACATTGCGTGCTCCATGTGAGAATGACTAGCCAGAGATCTGTGACTTTCATGCATAAAAAAAGTATTTTACTTGCCCCAGGCCATAAGTTGCCAGTCCTCCCCTGATAATCACATTTTCTTATTTAAAAAAAAAAATTACAGAACTTTTTTTATTTTTAACAAATAAACGGCTTTTCTGCTTAGCGCAGTACATCATGTAACATAACACCATGCAAAACTCAATGATTGCTATCAATCCTTGTCAGTCAATGTACCAGGGATAAAGGAGAGAGTGGAGAGAGATAGGATAGGTAAAGTGGAGAGACTATAAGAGGTGAAGAAAGACTGGAGGGAGAGAGGAAACTGAATGAGGGGCAGTTGGGTTGTAAGAAATTAGGGAATGTGTGCGAGGTATAAGTTGGGTATGGGTATAATAACACAGCTAAGAAGGGAATAAAGAAAAATGAAAAATAAAAAAAAATACATTCAGGCACTGACATTTAAAACAAACACAGATACAGTGAAATACATGTTTAATTCCTGACAATTTGCTTATAAGTAAACATCCCTGTAAACGTAATTGTGTAACTTAATGACTTTCCTTTACACACCCTTTTTATATGGCAGTAATAACTAACCATAAACCTGCAGATGATATTGATTTATATTTCCGTACTTGTGAGACTGGTGGTGTAAATTCTAAGTAAAATGTAGATGTGTAAATACACACAGAGGTGGTCCACTCCTCTCCTAACCTTCGTACTAGCAGGCAGAAGCTCCTGTTATACTCCTGGGACAGAGGAAAGGTGTATGTAGTGAGTGTAGAAGAAAGGGAACATGTCACAGTGTTAGAGAGACTGAAGCAGAAAGAGCATTTGCATAGTGCACAAAGTCAGCTTTACTGTAACTAATTTCATTGTCAGCCAGTCCACACATATTTTGTTCCCCTACATCCCTCTTGAGTTTCCATACTTAAGAAAGAGCTTGAGCTTTTTTTTATCAATGGACCTGGAGCTGCAGCCCATGCCCTGCTCCTCTGTGAGAGCTGGAAGCTCTCTCTGTCTGTCCATTGAGCAAAGCCTGGCAGTGCAGGGCTTAGCTCATTAGCTCATGATCTCATGAGATGATCTCAGCTAATGAGTTAGTCCAACACAGCAGGAATTGGCTCTGAAGAGCAAATGGAAGCTCCAAGCAGGAATTCTTCTCAGCCTACTTACTTGCACTTACCTACCCCCAGGGCTCCTGATGGGTACTGGTGACTTTTTTTTAGTGTAGTAGCCCAGTAGTAAATATAATACCGCAAAGAACTCACATAGAGAATGTAGTTGTTGCCCTTCTGTACCCAGGGCCGGTGCAAGAATTTGTGGGTGCACAGGCGAAGATGATTTTGGCACCCTCCCCAAAACCATCTTCACCTGTGTGCCTCTTCCCGCCTTTTGTTTCTTATCTCCTTTTTTAAAATGTCTTACCCCCTTTAGTATATCTTATCCCCTATTTTTCACCATTGTGTGTCTTACTCCCCCAGCCCCTTTGTCTTTTACCCGACCAGCTCCTTTGTGTGTTTCTCTTTCACCACCAGCCCCTCTTAGCGTTCCTCTCCCTTCTCTTTTAGTGGCCCCCCTACCCCAGTGTTACCCCCCTACCCCTTTTCTCTTTCCTCTCCTGTATCTTAGTGCCCCCCCCCTTAATGTCCCTTAATGTTCCTGTAGCGGAATATGGGTAACCCAACAGGTTACCTCCGCTAATTCTTTCCTTCAGCCACTCTGGCACCATTAATGCATAAAGACATCCATTCCCCCTGTAACCAGACGAAACATAGTTCTGGGAGTCAACTGAGGTTTATTGGAACACACACGTCTCTTATGCACAGACCCCTACATGGGGCTTCCCATACAATAATACAGGATTTTTCCTCCCAGGATCCTCTACAGAAAAATATACAATATTCTAAAACACTCTAAAAATACAGGGGCTAATTTGATTGCATGGGAGCTCCGAGCTTACAATCCAAATTCCTCTTTGAAGCTGGGACCCCAACTGAGCCACTCTGCAAGGTGTGAGAAGTCACACACAAGTGACCTGGAAGTCTGGCTTCAATATAAACTAAATCTCTCACTTGCCATATGTCCTGATTTCCTCCTAGATAAGGTGTCCTTTGATATGAATAGTCATCAGTCCTTAAGAAAAACCCCTGTGCTCCAGTATCATATTAAAGGACCACTATAGTGCCAGGAAAACAAACTAATTTTCCTGGCACTATAGTGCCCTGAGGGTTCCCCCACCCTCAGGGTGCCACTCCCGCTGCGCTGAAGGGGGAGGAAGGGGTTAATCCCTTACCTTTTTTCCAGCGCTGGGCTCCCTCGGCGCTGGGACTCTCCTCCCTCTTCTCATGTCATTGGCTGAATGCGCGGCAAGAGCCGCGCACGCATTCAGCCAGCCCATAGGAAAGCATTCTCATTGCTTTCCTATGGACGCTTGCGTCTTCTCACTGTGAAAATCACAGTGAGAAGCGCCTCTAGCGGCTGTCAATGAGACAGCCACTAGAGGCTGGATTAACTATGAATAGGATGAGGCAGAGGCATCAATGATGTCCACCGATTAAAAAAGATAAAGAACACAGTAATGAACAGTTAAATCCGAGCTGCAGGGTCTCCTTACTGTAGTTCCAACAGTGAAACAAGCAGATAGACAAAAAATGGAGTTCTACGCATCAAGTAGGTGTTGCCCGAAACGTTTGTTTATATTGTGTCCTCTAATAAACTGCAGTAGCACCTGGGTGAGGCTGGATTAACCCTAAAGTAAACATAGCAGTTTCTGTGAAACTGCTATGTTTACAGCAGAAAGGGTTAATCCTAGATGGACCTGGCACCCAGACCACTTCATTAAGCTGAAGTGGTCTGGGTGCCTACAGATTAATAACTAAGCCTCATTTCTTTTACATTCAGAATGGGACAAGCACAATATTCTAATCAAGCCCAAACATGATTTGCCAAAAACATACGAATGAGTAGTAGTTTTGCCACACTTCATCTCTCTCCACCCCCAGTGTTCCTCTCCCCTCTCTCTTTTTTAGTGTTCTTTCCCCCTCCTCCCCGTCCCATAGTGTTCTTTCCTCCCCCCTCTCCCCAGTCCCATAGTGTTCTCCTCCCCTGTCCCATAGTGTGCTTTTCTCCACCCCCACCCCAGTCCCATAGTGTTCTTTCCTCCTCCCCTGTCCCATAGCATGCTTTTATCCACCCCCACCCCAGTCCCATAGTGTTCTTTCCTCCTCCCCTGTCCCATAGTGTGATTTTCTCCACCCCCTTCCCTGTCCCATAGTGTTCTTTCCTCAACCCCGTCCCATATTGTTCTTTCCTCCTCCCACCTCACCAATATCCCAAAGTGTTCCTTTCCCCATCCACGGTGTGTCTCCTACCTTTCTGGTAGCGTGGCCGAGCAGAGCAGTGTGCGCCACGGTTCAGTTTCCTGTACCTGGCTGGACTGACAGTAAGTGCTTTCTCAGTAAGCACTATCTGTTAGTCCGGCATGGTACAGGAAACAGAAGTTCCTGTGCCACTGTGCGCACAACACAGGGTGACTGTCAGGAGGGAGCGATGTGCACCCACCTCCTGCTGATCACTCTAATCTAGCACCACCCGGGCCTGTACGCTCTAAGGCAGCCACTTGTGCCGCCTTGTGGACACACCGGCCCTGTCTGTACCTCATCAAACCATTAGCAAACAGTTTAAACTACAACTAAAACTACTTGGATTGTTTAAAACCAAAAAGTAATAAGTAATGTAACAGGCGCTTAAACAATGGGTCCAGTATTATAAAAAATGACAAGCTGCTACCACCTATATGTGAATATCCTTCATATTTACACCAATGGTAATAGTAAAAAGCTTCACTGTGCGGTACGTGCACACACCCCAGTGAACACACAGTAGAGCGCTAAAGAATATTTCCACTTACCCTCACTATATGAGTAAGGTGTATTATCCCATAATGAAAAATAATAACATAGAGTAGTATATCTAAGTAATAGTTAAAAACTCCACTGTGTGTTCACTGGGGTGGGTGCATGTACCACACAGTGAAGCTTTTTACTATTACTTGGATTGTTTGGTTGCAAGAACAGTACTAGCACCATAACCACAACAGTGCACTGGTGCCAGTTTAAAAAAAAAAACACAATTTAAACCAATGCACGTCAACAATCATAAAATAAACTTTATTGTAGAGCAGCAGAAATGGTCTGTGATGGTCTGCCATAATAGTCTTCCTCCTGTCTCCATCGGTGGTATTCTATTCCGACTTCCAGTGTTTTGATGGGTCAGTAAGTGCGTGATGTTGTGTGCTTACAGTCTGAAGTTCACAACATCAAACTCAACACAAGGTTTCTTTGAAGTCTAATGAAGTCTATTGCTCTTAAATTTCAGGCATAGTGATCAACAAAAATTATAAACCAGCATATAGCAGAGCCTTATATATCTTTATACCGATAGATATCTATGGACATAGACACTGGATGCTACAAAAAAAATAAAAAATACAAACAGACCCTAGTAATATCTGTCTAGGTCCTAAATTCTAAAATTATCTGTGACATCCCCTTATGGGTTGCCCATTTTCAAAAGCTGTGAGAGATCTGCTGGAATTCCAATCCACTCGGGAAGAAAAAAGGCCTCATATTTGAAACGTTTAAGGAAACTAGAGTCAGGTAAGATATAATTTGCCAGGTAGATGGTCTCACCTCCCACAAGGTATCCAATCCAATACCCAAACGTTCCTATAGTCATAATAGTGTGGTTACAGTGTGCCAGGAGGGCAAAGTCATGGGCAGGAGAACCTTCTCTGCCATCACCAGCAAAGTGGACATCCCCCAGGGAATTGTTTATATTCTCCTTGCACCAATCCATGCCGTTACTGGTCACCACAAATATTGGGTTTTGATATTTATTTCTAAAATAGTCCATGGCTTTCTGTAAATATCCCTTATCAGCGATAACACCCCTCCTGGTTTGTATAGCCTTTACATAGTCTCCTCTGCGGACGTGCACCCCAACAAAGGTAACATTTTTCTTATTACCTCGTACATTATCAAGATAAGCGTAACTCTCCTCCTTAATCCATTGATGAAAACTAAATTCTTTGAGAATCTCATCCTTTAAAAAGTTATAAAATGTCCAGGAGCAAGGATAACCAGTTAGTCTTACATAATCTCCTTGGATATCCCTGTATTCTGGAGACATCCAATTATGAAGTTCGAAATCTTTCCATTTAATACGATTAGCAACCTCCTGGTTAAGAACAGGGAGTTGAATTTGAAAGATTTTGGATAACTGCTCATGCATTTTTGGTAATATGTACGCTCGGTGACCATTAAGTCTTGCAAGGCCATAAAGCGTAGCATATTCCCCAATTATATTCCCTAGGCGTCCAGCAACATTTACTGTCATTATATCTGTGTGAGGTGGTTTGAGAACTATTGTTGTCACGGTTTGTTGTTGTTGATTTCCTTTAGCAGGCCCAATGATATATTTGGTCATTTCTGTAAATGCTTTGTTGGCATGGTAAACGTATGATATTACTATAGAGAGGAACACCACAAGGAATAAGATACAAAGAACTTTGTTGAGTTTCCTGGGGGCAACTGCTTCACAAAACACTACTACAAAAAAAAAAAAAATGAGAAGAATGAATTCACTTTTTGAAAAACCTTTATGCAGTATTTATTTTCATTGATATTTTTATATAGAACTAATTATTGTGGCATGACTTTTTTCCTACCACTGTTTTAGGATTAAAAATGGATCACAGCAGAAATTATAGGAGAGCTAAATTCTTGCATAAAAATAAGAAAATAAAACGTTTTATTAGTAGTGCAAAAGATCAAATGCATTGTTCAAACAATATGAGCACAATGTGATGTACATATGGAGCAAAGTTATAAAAGTGAGGCAAAACTACAGAAACCGACAGACCCACGAGGAACATTCCTTTGATTTCCATGTAAATTGCTTCACTCCTTTGGGACTCCATTGTCCCACTTTTCTGTTAGTGGAACATTTGTAAATCTCGTAAAGTGTTCTCCAGCCTGCAGACCATTGTATCAGCCAATGAATGAAAAGCTCAATAAGCAATGATCAACATGGCTTGGCCATAAACCTTTTGTGAGAGACCCCACCAGTGGACTTGTTTCCATGATTGTTGTCAAAAAAAGCAGCAGTTAAGCATTAGTGCCAACAGCCTATATATTGTTGCAGGTAAAAAAAACATTGTCCACACGCACATATACCTTCCAGACACACTCATTGAGATACACACACACACATACCCAGATGCAAACTGCCAGACAGACATATAGGTCATCCCCTACACACACTATGCCCCTTATATACACTCTCTCTCACTCTCTACAGCCTCTAGCCACACATATTACACCATAAACACAACACAACTGAAACTGACCTATTTACACAAAACACCATATTCGGCTCACTCTACACACCCACAATCCCACAATCAGGCTCCAAACACATGCACAATATGCTTTCCTTGCCCTTTTGTACTCTCGTATCCCACTCATGGAGACACCAGAGACAAGTCACAAGCAATCATAGCACAAGCATGTTAATACATTTGCTTGCACTGCACAATTACAGAGCCTTCTGGCCCCACCCCTTTTCAGTGAGCTGCTGTGATTTAAAAATGCCCAGGCCAGATTTTTTTTTGTACAATGCATTGACAGAGACACACACAAATACAAATATTGAAATTTAATGTTTCACCCTACTGTTTGCAGGCCTTTCATCAGAAGGGTGGCCTTCCTGCAGTCCACAGGGTATGGCGAAAGTGACCTCACCACTGGTTGTTGGAGGGGCCTATTTGCCCGCCTCCTACCTTCTGACTATGGCCCCTGGGAGATTGAGCCCTTTAACAACAGTATTGGGGCTTATGGACTTCTATTGGACTGTGTATGGCCCTTTAAGAACTGCTTTTGGGCTTATGGACTTGTATTGGACCGTGCTGGCCCTTTAAGAACCATCTAAGGACATATTGAGACTTTGTGTGACAATGCCCCTTTAAGACTATGTCCCCAAACCTTTAAAATCCTTTGTGCATGGCTTTCTCCCACTTGGTTCAGTAAATGGGGCTTACTGAACCAAGTACCACAGAGGCGTACCACCCAGAAGTGGTAGCGTGCAGGAAATTTACCTCCCAGGCTGGGAGCCTGCTGTAGGTAAATTACCGACCGCTGGGTGGCCGCCGTTCGTACAGTCGAACACGTGGAGGTGGCCATCTTTAATTCAGCTTAAGTTTTACCTTCTCCAGACTTCAATGCATTCGACAATTCAAACGCCGTTCGACAGTTCAAACGCCATTTGACAGTTCATTCGACAATTCGAATGGTTGTCATTCGTCTGTTTGAACTGACTTTAACATGGGAAACAGACCAGCTGCACAGCCTGAATCTCTGGAACTGTTTTGGGCATGAAAATGTGCTTGCGGTCGGTCACAAAGGACTTCCAGCTAACTTGTTATCTAATGGAGGGATTTGTATGATTTTTGAGAGTGTTCATATTTGAAGTATGCGGAGTAAGAATATGTGATTTTGTATGAAGATTGGATGTATAGTTTTAAAGTTACAGTACATGTGTAAAAAGTATTTTTCTCCTGCCTGTGATAATTACTTTAACCCATTGTGTTCAGTAATTATCACAGGCAGAGGGGAGGATTTTGTGCGAATGAATGACAGACCTATGACAGACTTACTTTGACAGACCTATGCTGGTGCTCCATTTCCCTTCCCTAAATCTGCGGCAGTACTATGAGCGTCTGGCTACTGTTGCCCCTCGCACCTCTAAATAGTGGGCTACCTCTGCTACAAGAAAATATTAAGTATGTGCAAAATGTTAAAAACAGGCAGTTAAAAAATAAAGTTAAGAAAGGTGCCTTACTGCTCTTGACCAAATTAATCATAAATAACAATATATATTACAAGTGCAAGATTTATAATACAAAGTGGAGTGTTGTGTGGGAAAGAGTACCTTACACCCTAACAGTATGCAGTTCAAAAGCAATGTTAAAACAGCATCATATAACAGATAAATTAAATAGAGAACAACAAATAGTGCAGATGTTAACAATCCTTGGTTTATGTGAATAATGTGGTGTAAACAATGTGGTGCCTTGTCTTATGCTTAATTTACCTTAATTTGTTTTACTTTAAGCTTGTTTTACTTTAATTCATTTTCCTTAAAAAATAGTGCAACGAATTTACATCCTATGCCTATGTACCAATATGTATGATACTGAATGTCTGTTGATGCTGTCGTGGCATCACAAACGTGTATATAACTACCTGCAATGCAAAAATAAAGAATTTTAAAAAATAAAAAAATAATGTGTAAGCACACTCATGTAACGGAGCCACAAAATATAGGCTCACTTAATGCGTAGTCGTGCCTTCCCAGGTAGCACCTCACCACTCTTCTATCTGGAACACAGGAATACCACAATAGAGCAGTATGTCTGCCAAAGTTTTATATCTAATATGGATATAATTAAAAATGGACTGGCAAGTGTGGTTCACCTGTGGCAATGAATAAATCCTCGATAGCAATGAATCTGCTTAGTTGCAGGTTTTTGTTTTTTTTTAATAAAATGACTTTGCCACTCAGAATAGTACATCATGTAACACTATACCATGGAATACTCAATGATTGTTATCATTCATTATCCTCTACTGGGGATAAAGGGAAGAGTGGAGAAAGATAGGATAGGTAAAGTGGAGAAACGATAAAAGGTGAAGGAAGACTGGTGGGTGTGAGGAAACTGAGTGAGGGGGAGTTGGGGTGTGAGAAATTAAGGAGTATGAGTGAGGTGTAAGTTGGGAATGGGTTTAATAACACAGCTAAGAATGGAATAAAGAAAAATCAAAAGAAAAAATATACATTCCGACACAGATATTTACAACAAGCATAGATACCCCTCACGAATGCCATTCTGAAATTCACTTTTTATTCACTGTCCATTGCTGACAATTTGTGCCACATGAACAAAACCCAAAAAAATTCAGATTGCATAACTTGATCAAAATTCCCGTACACACCTTTTCCTTTATATGACAATAAAAACTAACCTTAAACCTGCAGTTAATATTGTATTATGTTTCCTTATTAATGTCAACCAGCCTATTGGTGTATCAGTCTGGGCGTCTGTACTAGTTGGTGTGCATTTACAGATACAAGTATTTGTTAATGAGCGAGTATCAAAATATACGAGTCTTCGTTTTCTGTTATGGAATAAAGTATGTGTTTTTTTTTTTGTTTTTTTTTAATAAACAAATATCGATTTGTAATATCTACTGCTGTAATCAAAATTATTCAACCCCCCAATTAAAATTAGGTTTATTGCCAAAATGTACAGGCTTTCAGCTGATTGCAATGATCAGGTCAAACAAAAGCAATTGAAAAATCTCAACACAAATGCTTCCAGTAGTTTCCACAAATTCAACAGAAAATGCAACTTATCATGACTTCTCCAGTCTCACAATTATTAAATCCCTTATGGCACTGCATCCTTAGTATTTAGTAGAGCATTATTGTGCTGTTATGACCTGTTGCAAACGAGATGCATAGCCGGATACCAGCTTCTGGCAGAGTTCCTGAAGAATCTTACTCCATTGTTCATGTCCATTGTTCAGTTCAGTTGTGTTGAGCTATTTCAATTTCTTTTGTTTGATTTGTTAATTGCAAACAGCTGAAAGTGTGAAAATGTTGACAATAATCCTGGTTTTCAATAGGGGTTGAATAATTTTAATTACAGGAGAGGGCTTATTGCGTAGAATAGAACGGTGACAGCTATAACCAGAGCACTTAGAAATTGTTACAAATTATTAAAATAAATGGGTTATTATTTAAAGGGGCACACAGATATATTATGTATATATGGGCTAACTTTCAAGCATCCTGATTTAAAATCTATTGTAAAAGTTTAGCTCAGCATTTGTAGTGGGGGGTTTTAAGCGATGCACAGACTTTACATTCGGTTAAAAGTTGGTTGTAAAGTCTATCCAGACATTTTATGGCATTCCGGGTTCATTATTCCAAATTATACTTTGTTTCTCACACCAGTCTGTGACTATCCCCATTTTATCTTCTTAAGGTTTCAGATCCTATTTCTACTAATCTTCAACCCTCTTCTAATTTTTCTTTAAATGGAAAGCAAAGCTCATAATGAATAAAATGTATATAATTTAAAACTGGTATCCCTGAGCAGCATTTTATATAAAGATTGCTTCCCAAATATATGTGCTTTCTATGCATCAAATAAAAGTAATACATTTTTAATTTTAAGAAAATTTAAATGTAGTAGTTAATTTAAAATATGTTTGGTTTGCTGAAAAATTCCCTTTTAAATGTGTGTTTTATTTATATTTATTTATTATTATAAATGTAAGATCTATCTTCAACTCATTTTTAAATAAATGATGTCAAAAACGCTTATTGATCTAAACATCAATTTGTACAAACCAAAGACAGATCTAATCGAAGGCGAATTGAATAAGCATGCGTCATTAGCAAGGATTTAAAAACTAAAATGTTCATCAAATACCTAACAGTGTTAAATGTTTATGCTACACTGTATATTATGAAGCGTATGCAACCTTCAGACAATTTTATTTCACACCTGTACATTGATTGAAATGTTGTAAAAACAATTACCTGGGACAATTTTAAATTCTTGCATAATATGATCTGCTTTTGAAATCGTTAGATTAAAAATTGAAACATACAAACTGATACAACAAGCGCAGAGTACAAAATTAAAATACAGAGGGAAAAATACCTATATATATATATATATCACATACATTTATTGTCAATGTGATAGAGTGACAGGCAGACAGGCAGGCAGGTATGTAGGTGCATATGTAGGTAGATGAGTTTCTATAGAATATAGATATATGTAGTTGTTATAGATACATTTGATATTAAATTATATGTGCATATTATACATACTATTAAACCATAGCATTGTCAGTACAGTAATTTATTTTAATTTTACTAACCTTTCATGTCTATTTTTGTTTCTTTTTTTCCTGAGATTTTAGAAAAGAGTTTCTTTAGTGTAGGCAACTGGCACCAGGGCATTTCTTATTTGAACGTAACACCTGTTGTTTCCGCACTATTTAATGAGTGTATGTTTGAAGCAAGGGGAGGGAGGAGAGATGTGACTTATTGCAATTACTGCGTGTTGCAGGTAAGGACAATGTTCTCCCCTTTCTGCTATTCTACAGGTTTGACACCTCTTCTACTAAGTTATTTTCATTAACTAAAAGGATAACATACATTTCACAAATGTGACGCAGAGCTAACACAAACACAGAATACAAAAACATTTATATGTATAGATCGACGTTTAGATATATCTCAAATAACACATATTGTCAATGTTCTGCATTTTAAAGTGAACATCCAGTAATCAGAATTACATAAAGCAACTATATTATACGAGAGAACACGGAAGAACAAGGGTGAACTCTAATTGGCTGAGGGATCTCGGCATTTTATGACTGAAGACAATACCAGTTGAGAAGCATCAGATCCTGGAGATTTTATGTCCATAGTACCTTGAATAGAATAACCTCTAAATATTTTAGCATTAATAGCAGCCATTTTTGCAGTCCACTTAATCCATTGGGCCAAACACACACTGTCAGACACATACACACAAATACAGAGGTAAACACTGAAAGACACACACTCTTGATCGGACAAACATTGCCAGACAAACAGTAAAAGATCTTTTTAATTTAAATTTTTCGGGAAAAAGTAACCGACTCTAATCAACAAGAGAGAGGAATTTAAGAAGTTAATATTACATCTTAGATAGAAAACTAATAGCTCCAGATGTAAGTTGCACTTACTCTGTTGCTTAGAATGGGTTGGGTAGATTAAGTGGGCATAACCCAATATAGACGTTACTCTAACAGGACCTTATGAAGGCAAGACCTATAAAAGGAGGGGGACAGACTTCACCGAAATTACCACCAATTAAAAATCATTCTTAGGTACTAAAAGATAATTGGACTAAACTTTATCAATAACAGGAAACCAAATGAAACACACAAAACAAACAGATAAGTGCAATAAGTTTCATAAAAAAATAATAATAATTGAAGAAGTAAATTAAAATAATGGGGTACAGATGTATTGAAAGACAGCAGAAAAAAGGAAAGGAATCAAGTCCTAGTCAAAGTTCATAGTGGGCATAAAATGTGCCTTATCACATGCTTGAAAGAGCACTTTGTATACTTGTTGTATAGTTGTATACTGTATCCAGATCCTAATGTGTGGAAGTAGAAAATTCATATATTACAACAGTTCAGCAAAATACTTAGTATTACAATTAGAAAAAGATCCAAGCAAGAAATTAAATAGGAAGATTAGAGATATTGTTTACTAAACAGAGTTTGTTAAAAAAAATTTTTTTAAATCCTAGAAATTGGTAGTAGGAGCTAGATTCAAAAGTATACTCTCAAAGGGGGGGTGGGGGTGTCAGCACCTGTGGTTAGTAAATAGTCATAGTATGTGGAAGTAGAAAAGAACACCCTATTTATATTACACTACATTGTGTCCTTTAGTGTAACATAACAAGCACAGATTAAAGCACTAGAATGGAATACGATTCACCAAAATTAAAGCACTTTGCAGACATAACCTCCGGAGTAGAAAGTTTTCATTTGGCTAAATCAAGAGCAAGAAGGAAAATGCTTGAAGCCAAAGGATAAAACAGTTTGTCCACTATTAAAACTTATCTGAATCAATTTCCAGAAAATACCATAGATAATAACCATGAATCACCAGATTAAAAATGTTGACTTACGGATAGTTAGAATGGATTTTAGATGTTAGAATATAGATGTTTGGTTGGGAATGCCATAAGTAAAACTGGAACTGTAGATACCTAAAAGAAATGATTACTACAAATGTTTTGTTTTTTTCTGTTTTGCTTTTTTGTTTTTGTTTTGTGTGATATCATGCAATGTAAATTAATTTAATAATTTACTAGAATTAATCGGACTAAAACTAAAATAAATAATAGATCAATTTATAGGTAGGGCAGGAGGGATTTAAATTTAATTAAACAAGATTCAGGATACGTATAAATCATATTAGAAGCGTTAAGAAAGTAATGTTTACTGAAAACAAGGGTGTATTGTTGATCTGAAGATATAAGAAGGGTATGAAAGTGCTACTGAAGACGAAAATAAGGTAGAAAAGACTGTATGATGTATAATGTAAAAGGAGGCAATATATTGCTTTTGCATTTTGTATAGTATATATTTTTTTTTTTGTTCTTTGTATATTTTTTCTATATTTTTTTTCTGTAAAGTTTCTGTGTAACTTGAAAAAGCAAAAGAAAAATATAAATATGAAAAAAAAAAAGAATTGATTTATCTAATTTGCTCCACTACTAGATATAATTCTGTCTATGAAGGTCATATATAAAGAATGAAAAACGTAAGTTATTATAAGTAGGGGGAAATTGTAATTTCTATAAACGTGAGAAAAGAGGAATCCCCTATCTGCTAACTGATCATTCCTCCCAACTTACAGTATACACTAATTTGAGAAATTTACGTTTAAGTCTTAAACTTCATTTTAAAACGCAGAGTCGACTTATCAGTGCTAGTTTCGAAATAAGTTTGTATGGCGTTTGGGAGTCGAACGGCGTTTGGGAGTCGAATGTGGGGCGATGTCAACTCCCGAACGCCGTTCTTCTAGCTGGTCGGGAAGTCAAACGAGGAGGAGTACAAGTTTCAGCGGGGTTCACGGGCTTGCGTAGCAGACTCAGAGATCCATGCCATGGACGATCATGTACCGCTGCCTGCGTTCGGGAGACAAGATTTTTTGAACATGTGCGTTTGTATCTACGAATGGCGGACACCCAGGGAATGCTTGTTTGTGCTTAACAGCCAGGGGTGGTCAGTGATTACGAGGTGTTGACAAGGGGGACCACACAGAGTATGTTTAGTAACCGAACAGAAGCCTAACAATTGCATTCGAATAACGTACCCTTGACTCATCCGCAAATCATAGCATATTTCCCAATTGTTGGTCAAGAAACTGCACTCGACGTATACACAGGATCGACTTATAGATGAGTATATATACACTACTGCTTCAAGGCAGTCTCCTAATGAACCCCAAATTAACCCTCCTAGTGTTCAGAAAAATAATGCCTCCCTATATGTTAAAATAGTCCAGGACCATCTTTCTGCATGGGCACGTTGGCCAGTTGCCCGGGAGCCCCACAAGCCTAGGGGCCCCACAGCATTACCCATGTACTGGACAGACAGCGGAGATCCTTTGATTTCCCCTGCCAGGCCACAAAGAGCCGGCCCTGCTTACTTGTTTTGGGCCCTTTCGGGCCGGTGGGGAGAGCAAAGATCTCTCTCATCAGCCAAAAGGCCCTTCGTTAGAGAGAGGAGGGCAGGAGAGAGAGAGAGAGTACATGGGAGGCAGTTCCTCCCACAAGCATGCTGGTCTGAGTGTTGCCGCACATTGCTGTGGCAACGCTCAGACACATCATTTTGCTCATGGGAGGAGTGAAGATAGCCTGCAGATCATTACTCACCACCGGACCACCAG